GTCAGGAGGTAAGAATGCGCGGGGGTGGAGGCGTGGAGGCGCGGCGGCCACTTGGACAATAGTGGGAGGGGTCAGGCCGCAGGAAGGGGGCGTGGGAGCCGCGAGCTCCTCCCCCCGCCCACCAGGGGCCGAGTCCCGCTGGGACGGCCCAGAGCGCTTCCTGCTTGTCCTTGGGTGACCTGGTTTCCCGGCTGAGGTCGGCCCACTGACCCTGGTTCTTTCGCCTCTGACCCCAGACCCCTGTCCGGGGCGTCCCAGCTCTCGGGTGCCCACCGAAAATACCCCCGCGGCAGCCCCTCCCACATTCAAGGCCTCCTGGTTTCCTGGAAAGGGAGAGGCTTCGGAAGGACAGGAGTTCGCAGCCTGATGCTGCCCCTGTGAGCAAATAACTTCTCTTCTTTGTGCCTAAGCTATTTTCATCTCTAAATGGGCTCATATAGGTACTTACCACAAAGGGCTGTTGTGAATATCAACATGAAGTAATTTGCATCAGGCATTCACTGTCTGGCAGATAGAAGGGACTGGATAGTCGTTATTCTTTTATTAGTATTCTCTCTTCATTCTCAACTCCTTCCAGAACCTTCTAGATTGCTCTTCCTTTAAACTTTGGGATGACCTCAAACCTATGTGACCCCCCACCCCACCCAAAGTTAGTCCCCAAAGATTCCTCTCCTCACATCTGCAGGCAGGTTCTCTGGAAATCCCATTCATGTATCATTCAGTCATTCAACAAACAGCTACTGAGCACCAGCCACCGTGCTGGGTGCTGTCCAAACAGAGATTCAGTCCCGGCTCTCAGCACCCAGAGTCTAGCAGGGAGGGACACAGATACGATTCAAATTATTAGTGAAGAATTCATTACCTTGACGTGAGGTGAAGTCTTCAAGGAGTCCAGCCTGGAGCTCAGAAGAGGTCATGGCGGCTCCTGGACTGGAGGGCTTCCCAAAGGGCCTGACCCTTGAGCTAAGACCCGAAGGAGGAGGAAGGGTCCCCAGGCACCTGGCACCATCCCTGTCCTGAAGGCAGGGTGGCTTCTCTCCTTTGGCTACACTCCCTGGACTCCTGCCGGTGCCTCCCCTGGGCAACCTGCCCTGGGCTAGGAGCTTCACATGCTAAGTCTTGTGGAATCCTCAAGGGCCTCAAGCATTCCATGCACTGTAATTACTCCAGTTTCACAGCTGAAAAGCCTGAGACTCAGAGACAGAAGGGTCCTGCCCCAAGTCATCAGCAATGCCTGAGCCAGAAGCCCAATCTGGGTTGCTCACCTGGCCACTATATCCTGGACTTGAGACCCTGCAAACCACTTTCAGGTCTTCTTAAAGTCAGTTCTTTTTTTTTTAACTGATATGAAAGCATGTTTAAAAGGAAAGTATTTTGTTTGTTTTTGTTTTTTGAGTTGAATTCTCACTCTGTCACCTAGGCTGGAGAGCAGTGGTACAATCACAACTCATTCAACTAATTACAACCCCAACCTGGGCTCAGACAATCCTTCTGCCTCAGCCTCCTGAGTAGCTGGGACTACAGGCGCATGCCACCATGCCTAGTTACGTTTTGTTTTGTTTTGTTTTGTTTTGTTTTTGTAGCAATGAGGTCTCGCTATGTTGCCCAGGCTGGTCTCGAATTCCTGGGCTCAAGCCATCTGCCCACCTGGGCCTCCCAAAGTGCTGGGATTACAGGTGTGAGCCACTGTGCCCGGCCAAAAGTAAAGTTTATATCACTGTCCTGAATAGAAAACAGGATCCTTTGCCATAAATAAAAGGTAAGGAAAGAAATAGGCCGGGCTCAGAGGCTCAGCCTGTCATCCCAGCGCTTTGGAAGGCTGAGGTGAGTGGATTGCCTGAGCCCGCGGGTTCGAGACCCGCCTGGGCAAGTTAGCAAGACCTCATCTCTACAATAAATCAAAAATTAGCTGGGCATGGTAGCGCATGCCTGTAATTCTAGTTACTTGGAAGGCTGAAGCAGAAGGATCACTGGAGCCCAGCAGGTCGAGGCTGCAGTGGCCAGGAGCAGTCTGGGTGAGAGAGTGAGACTCCAACTCAAAAAAAAAAAAAAAAGAAATTCTGCACAGTGCCAAGGAAACAGGATGGTTCTTGCATTGGGCTACCTAAAATTGCCTATGCATGACCCTCTTTGACCTCCCTAAAACAGCTACTGCCGATGGTCCCACTTGATGAACGTGAGGTTGTCTGCTGAGACTTCTGTTTCTTCTTGGTTTTAAACAGTGAGCTCAGCAAGGATTAGAGAGGTTTTAAAACCGTGTTAGCAACCGGGCTCGGTGGCTCAGCCTGTAATCCCGCGCCTTGGGAGGCTGAAGTGAGTAAATTGCCTGAGCCCGCGGTTTGAGACCCCCCCCCGGGCAACTTGGTGAGACTTCATCTCTACAATAAATCAAAAAATTAGCCGCGTGTGGTAGCGCGTGCCTGTAGTTCCGGCTACTCGGAAGGCTGAGGCAGAAGGATCCCTGGAGCCCATCAGGTCGAGGCTGCAGTGGCCAGGAGTGGCTACTGCACTCTAGTCTGGGCAACAGAGTGAGACTCCAACTCAAAAATAAATACATAAATAAAACCGTGTTAGCACCCTCCTAAAACTTTAGCCTCCACAAAATCAGGATTAAGAGAGACCTGATGCTGGCTTGATGTCTGAGTGTGCTATTTAATGTCACTTGTGCCATCTCTCCAGCACCTAAAATGATCCTATGTCCACCGATGACTCCGGTCCCTGACAGAACCACTGGGTAAATCCCATTTGCCATGTAACTGGGAAGGCTGGCCTGGGAGGAGGAAGGATCCCATCTGTTGCAGCTAATAATTAATAATAACACCAGCCTGGGCAACATCGTGAGACCGTGTGTCCACTCAAAAAAATTATAAAAATTTCACCGGGTGTGGTGGTGCATGGCTGTAGTCTGAGCCCAGGAGGTTGAGGGTGCAGTGAGCTGAGATTGTGCCACTGCTCTCCAGCCTGGGCGATAGAGTGACACTGTAAGTTAAAATAATAACAGTTCTCACTTTCTGAGGGCTTGCTATGTGCCACCTGTTGGGCTGCATGTTTGAAAAGCTGTATCTAGCTGGGCTTGGTGGCTCAGCCTGTAATCCCATGCCTTGGGAGGCTGAGGTGAGTGAATTATCTGAGCCCGCGGGTTCAAGACCCGCCTGGGCAACTTGGTGAGACCTCATCTCTACAGTAAATCAAAAAATTAGCTGGGTGTGGTAGTGCACGCCTGTAGTTCCAGCTACTTGGAAGGCTGAGGCGGAAGGATTATCGGAGCCCAGCAGGTCAAGGCTGTGGCTACTGTACTCCAGCAGTCTGGACGACAGAGTGAGACTCCAACTCAAAAAAAAAAAGAAAAGAAAAGAAAAGCTGGATCTTGTTGAAGCCCACAACTGCCCAATGAGAGACAGGCTGTTACTTTTCCTACTTGACAGCTAGGGAAACTGAGGCTGGTAACTTGCCTCAGTAATGGATGGATTAATCAATGGGATGGATGGATAGATTGGTGAATGCATGGTTAGATGATTACTTAAATGGATGAGTGGGTAAACAGATGGATAAATCCATGGGATGAGTGGGAGATGGATCAATAGATGGATGGATGGATGGATGAATGGATGGACGGATGGATGGATGGATGGATGGTTGGATGACTACCTAAATGGATGTGTGTGTAAACAGATGGATAAATCAATCGGATGGATGGGGTATGGATGGATGAATGGATGGATGGTTAGGTGACGACCTAAATGAATTAGTGGATAGAACCGGTGAATTGATGGATGGATAAATCACACAGTCAGAAAGTGGTACATTCAGGATTGGGTTCTCTTTGTCCCACTGCCTTCTGCTGTGCCTCCAATGCCAGATACAGTGCCTGGTACACACAGCATTCATTTATGGAGCACCTGCTATGTGCCAGACACTGTGCTGGGTCCTGGCAATGCAGCACTGAATAGAGCAGTTAAGGTGCCTGTTGTCAATGGAGCTTACAGTCAAGGTCGGGAGATTTTAACAAGCAAATCATGATACATGTAAACAAATGTAAAGAGAAATAATAGTGATCATTGTTCTGATGAAAATCTGAAGGCCTGGAGGGGGACAAATTAGACCAGGAGGCTAGAGAGGGCCTCCCAGAAGAGGTGACATTTAAGCTGAATTCAAAAGACCGAGACCTGTATACCTAACCCTGGATTGTACCCCATATCTTTATAATTTAAAAAATAAATAATAATTTTTTTAAAAAGACTGAGACCAGCCTGGGCAACTTGGCAAAACCTCATCTCTACCAAAAGAAAAAATTAGCCAGGCATGGTGGTGCACACCTGTAGTCCCAGCTACTCAGGAGGCTGAGGTGGAAGGATCACCTGAGCCCAGGAGGTCAAGACTGTGGTAGCCGTGATCGTGCCACTCCATTCCAGTCTGGGTAACAGACTGAGACTCCACCTTAAACATAAAAGAAAAAAAAGAAGAAGAAAAGAAGGGGGTGAAGAAGAGGGGATGGGGGACAAGGAAGACCAAGACTTAGACTTATGACCTCTATGTTCTGAGGACCATCTGGTAGACTATTGATTACACAGACATATTGAGATATCCTATATCTGTGTTGTCCATTATAGTCATCACTGACCACTTCAAACTATTGAGCATTTCAAATGTGGCTGGTATAACTGAAGAACTGAATTTTAAATTTACTTTTATTTCATTTTAACTAATTTAAATTTAAATTGTCACATGTAGCTAGTGGCTCCCATATTGAACAACATAGGTCTGGAGAAAGAACTTTCCAGAAAGAGGAAACAGCAAGTAGAAAAGATCTGATATGTTTGAAGAACAGGTCCATAAAGCTGGACCAGAGTGGGTAAAAAGAGAGAA